TTTGAGAATGATGAGGGCAATGAATGTACAAATGTGCTTTACACAATTGATGTATGTATGGATTGTGATAAGAGTTGTATGAGCCCCTGATAAAATGATTTTTTTAAAGGCATACAAAGGAAAAAAAAGAGCTGTAAGAGCCCACAATAAGATGATTTAAAATTTTTGTTTTGTTTTCAGAAACCACTTTGATTTTCTAAACATGCTTTCTTGGAGTGTGTGTACTAGAACATTACACATGAGGCATTCATGTCACTCAATCAAACATAGTTTATCCCTAGTCTTCCGGTCTGGCAAAAACTAAACAAACTTTTGTTCTGAGAATTGTCTTTAAAATTACAGTATATTTTTTCCCTTCAAAACAACATGTTTTTATTAAAGTACATTGCAAAACAATTAGTGCACTCCCCCTCTCTTCCTACTTTCGTATGTCTTTCATTTGTTCCTTCACTTTGTCTTTTTTTTTTAACATATCCTTATTGGGGTCCTTCCTTTCCACACTTAAGGTGAATAGCTCACATACACAAAAGACTTGCAGCCACAGAGAGAGCCACCATTTTTTACTTGTTTTACTTTATCGAACTTTATTTTCCCTTGGTTCGTGGTGCTGTTGAGTCAATGCCCCCCACCCCCCACTGTGGTTTGCGAAACTGTAACTGTTCACAGAAGTAGAAGCCCAAACGTTGTCCTGCAGAGCTGCAGGGGGCTTCCATGTGCCAGCCGTGCAAATCCCAGCCCAATGCCTAACCCCTACAGTTAGCAGGTTTGAAGTCCAAATTCAGGGCACTCTTTTTAGGTGTCGACTCTCTCTGTGTCTACTTGGGGGGCTGGGCACCTTTGAAGTTCCCGGGAACAGAATATTACCGGCGGGTAGACTCGTCTGCTCCCATATATCACTAGCCTATAGACAATTCTTCCTCTATTGTCATTGTCTTCTTTTAAAAAAAAAGTTTTATTGGTATACACTTCACATGTCACACGATGTAATCATTCAATCATATTGATAAGAGTTGTGCAATAATCACAATTAATTTCAGATAATTTCTTCTACTTAATACTCATTAGCTTCTTATTTTCCCCAACCTTCTCTGTCATTCATTCCCCTATGTAATTATTAATCCAGGTACCTCTCCTGGATTTCAAAAGAAAATCATACAAAGCGCAAAAGATAAGTAAATAACAACAAAAAAGAAAGCAGAAAATATTAAAGACTGAAACTTTTAAATTCCTCAGAAGGGAGACACAATGATAAGGCCTTACATTTCAACCTATCCCTGTATCTACCACACTAGACTTTACAATGCTCTGTCTGAATGCAAGGCTATTCTCATTCCTGGGCTATGTTCAAGGGGCTTAATCCATCTGGGGACCATGAAAATGGATTTGGGCTTCCATTGTCATCCATAGCTTCCTGAAACCCAGGTGTTCATAATTGAAGCTTTGATACCATTCCCTCCTTTGGATTTGGATTTTTTATTTACAATCTTTGGATCATACAGGCTGGTGTGTGTGTGATTCTTCCATGTGGACTTAGTTGATGCCTCACTTAACTGGTCATTTTAAGACAAATCTTTATAAGACTCCAGACACTGTTCCTTCTGATAGCTGGACACCATGTAGTTTCTTCACCACACTATTCTATGGTGCCCAAATCGTCATTGCTCTCACTAGGAAGGCAAATATTGAGTAGGGTCATGCTATGTATACTAATTGTTCTCAGAGTTCAATGTAAGCCCCATATCAACTCATATATCTATGGTTTATATATGTTTCTGATTCACTTTAAAGACATCATTGTCATTTTATGATAGAGAACATTATAAATCACCCCACTGGGGCAGAAGGTAATTCTATTGATAGTGCCATTAATTTAGCCAAAGGTGCAGAATTTAAAACATTGTTGAGAAAAGGAAATTGTGCAAGTATATGCCAGCATCAGACTGGAATACATAAATTGTTAAACTCTTAAGTTACCACACACTATTTATGTGAACAATGGGGGCTGGTAATAGGACAAAACTTGGAATACTACTCATTCACAAAGGCAAAAAGAACATTAAAATAGTAAATAAATTAAAAAAATTTTTTAAAAAACAACAACAAAAAAAATAGTAAATATAATGTTAGTGTTCCGGGCAGCCATTAACTGGGCACTCTCAAAAGAAGAAATGCAAACCAAAGTCCAACAACCTCCAATTCCATAACCTCGGGATAATACGCATCTGC